CCGGGTGGCCTTGACCACCCGTCTTGACCACCCATCAAGGCCCGAGGCAAACAGTGAGACAGGCTTCTTCACTGTGTTGCTTTTACAAAGTAAATCACGTCTTTACAGACAAGGGTATATCCTCCGAGTGTCTCCGGAGTGTGCTCCGGGAGGCCGAATAGAACGAGTTCTCCCCAGGACTAGACACTGATGCATTCACTCCCTCCGGGTGGAATTAGCTAGGAATTCCCTCCGGTGGGGTTGGAAGAGTCGTGTTGTTTGTTTTTGCCACAGGACATTTTCCCACGAAAAACCCACACAGCGCTCCATAGGGAAGCTCAGCCTCTCGGGCTGCATGAGGAGGGGGCCGTGCTGGGTCCCTGGGCCGCGGGGCTCCCCCTGCTTTTCTGATGCCTCCTCTGGGACATCTCCGCCCCCCCACCCCCACCCCCGGCCCCCTTCCCGGGGCCCCGGGCTCCTCTGACCGCAGCTAGGAATCACAGGACGATCCATACCGCTAAGTGAGGCCTCCTGCTTCAGATTCCCGGGCAGGATTAGGCCCAGAGGGGCCGGCTTTGCGGTGACAGCCTAGCGCGGGTCAGCTGGTTTGTCACGGTGCACCTGCCGCTCCCGGCCCTTCGCGGCCCGCTGCTACCAGGCCGGAAATGGGCCCTTCAGTAAACCCCGCAGCTTCCGCGCCAGCACGGGGGCCTCTTGACATCTATTCTGTACAAGCCCCAACCCGGTACGAACCTCTCTGAGATTCCCCCTAATATGCTCTCTCAGCGAGTGTGAATAATACCTAAACACCAGACTTACGCCATTGGACTCAATTAACCTTCTCTAAAATGAATGTGTCCTTAATACCTACACCAAACGCTGATCAAGGCATTCTGATTTGGGGAAAAGAGAGAAGGGTTACCTCATTTCCCAGCCTCTTTTGTCAACAGCCCACTTTAGGTTCTGTACTGGCCACTCCTGAATAATTGAAAGTCAAGGTCACACATGTCAGTGAAAGAGCCTATAATTAACATCCAACTGTAAGCATTAGACTCTCTAAATTCACTCAGATTGTTCTTAAAAGGAGAGAGAGAGCTTGACCTAGTTTTTATTTAGGAAAAACAGCCTTTTGTGTTTTTAGAGCATTTTCTTTTATAATGAGACAACCATATTGTCACGCAAAGCCACTGGTTAAATGACCCAGTCATCCTACAGCTGGATCGTGCGAGGCTTCGACAGAGTAGCAATGTCATGACCCACACACGGTACGCAGCGCAGGGAACTTCAAATTCTATCAAATCCTACACCCACGTCCTTCCTACAAGTAAGGAAATTGCGGTCCAGGTGGGCGAAGGAACTTTCTCCATCTCCCAGAGCTAGCTGGCAGGCGGACAGAAGCAAGAACCCCCACGTTTATGGCTCCAAACGAGGGTGCTTTTCCTACCACCCCACGGAATAACAGCAAGGCATTTAGTAAACATCTCTCAGAATTGCTGTTTTGTTTGCAATGCAATTCAGAGAGTGTTCACCAGACACGTTTACGTACAGTGAAATGAGGAACACCTGTGTCACTTAGGTCCTGCACACTTTTGTTCTAAAAGGCATGATCCGTAGGCTTTCAAACGTTGCTCCCATTTGTTAGACCCTCTGTGGACAAGCTGGCAGGATCGGCGCACTTCTGAAAGGCCAGCAAAAGTGGGTAGAAGGCCAGGACCAAGGGCTGGGAATGTAATGGGAAAGAGTCAGTCCCGTGTAGCCCCGTGGTTCTCAACCCCAGATGCATTAGAATCGCTCAGATTTTTGGGGGCGCCTGGGTGGCTCAGTTGGATGAGCGTCTGACTTCGGCTCAGGTCATGATCTCGAAGGTCGTGGGCTCTGGGCTGATGGCTCAGAGCCTGGAGCCTGCTTCGGATTCTGTGTCTCCCTCTCTCTCTGCCCCTCCCTCGTTCATGCTCTGTCCTCTCGGTCTCAAAAATAAATAAACATTAAAGAAAAAATTTAAAAAATTAAAAAAAGAATCACTCAGATTTTTATTATTTTATTTTATATTTTATTTTCTTTCCTAGGAGGTTGCATGCCCAATGTGGGGGGAGGGGGGTCAGACTCACGACCCTGAGATCAAGAGTCACACTCTCCACTGACTGAGCGAGCCAGCCAGGCACCCCAGAGTCACTCAGATAGTTTTTTCTTTTGAGAGAGAGAGAAAGAGAGAGTAGGGGAGGGGCAGAGAGAGAACCTCTCCGTGCCCAGCTCAGACCCCAACAAGGAGCCCGACCCGGAGCCCAACGCTGGGCTCGATCTCACAACCAGGAGGTCGTGACCTGAGCCGAAATCAAGAGCTGGACGCTCAGCTGAGTAAGCCACCCAGCTGCCCCTCACTCAGACGTGTTGACGTACCAATGTTGGGCAGCACCACAAGAGATCCCTCTGGCTGGATGTGTGAGTGCAGATAGGGTTGAGCAGCCCTGGAGAGCAAGGTTTTGGTGTCCAACCCGGGCTAGAAATCCCCAGCCCTGACAACAGAGGACCCAGACTCTGAGTCTCCCTCACGTATTTCAGAAAACGGGAACGAATCCTATCTTGCTGGGTGGCTATAGCCTGAAGCCATCCCGTGCAAAGGGACAGGAGTGAGGAAAATTAGAAGGACCCCACTGTGTGGAAGGTGTTTGGTATGGGATCGGTGTCTCTGAATTCTTCTTTGCCTTCTGCTCTCTTTTTTTTTTCCCCGCTGGAAAACACATGCACACACACACACACACACACACACCATGTCAGCCAATGGCTGGGTACACTTAATCCCCTAGGATGTGTTTCTTTCCACTCAATGATTTGCATTGCTTTGTTCAAGTTTGGACAGCTTCCACGTAGCTTCCATTTGTATAGGTTTTCCGTTTGGGAGCATTAAACTATAGGGAGAATCTTTTTAGGGGGTCGGGTCAAGGCAGGAGGAAACTGGCTCAAGGAGGACACATTTCTCCTCTCTGTAAGACACACTTTGTGCCCCTACTACCTGTGTGAGGGGATTCCCTGCCAGCCCAACCCCCCCTTTTAAAACAAAAATTTTTTAAAGTTTATTTATTTATTTTGAGACGGAGACAGCTTGAGCAGGGAGGGGCAGAGAGAGAGAGAGAGAGAGGGAATCCCAAGCAGGCTCTGCACTGCCAGCACAGAGCCCGACACGGCTCTGTTTGGTATGTTGTGTATTGTGTAATGTCACGAAACCGTGAGATCGTGACCTGAGCCGAAACTGAGAGTCAGACCGGACGCTTCATTGACTGAGCCAACCCAGGCCCCCCAGCCCAACCCTGATAAGATGCCTCAGTAAGTGTGCAAATAATTCAACGTGGCCCTTCCCAGGGGCCTCCGACACCATTTGCACCCTCATCCCTGAACACACGACATATGGAAAATTCTGGCAGGGCACAGCGCTAGAATCAGTAAAGAGCAATAATGGATGCCTTTGGTTCTGGAAGTCACAAAAGCAGAAGTTGGACTCCAGGCTTGGCTTTTCTTTATTTCTCTCGCACTTCACAAGCTGAAGGATGCCATGTGGAGGCAACGGTAGGCTTTGCAGCAGTCCCTCGCTCAGGGAACCGCCAGGCCACCATCCAGCCACCTCCGCTACCAGTCTTATTGGGGGACTGTCTGCCATGGCCGTCTAGAACATTCAAATGGACAACATGGCTGCAGATACGCCCCCCACGCCACCCCTGGCATTAACGGTCCTTCTCGCTTCTTCTTGCCCAGCATTACCCAGCCCTCTTCCCCCTGCAGTCACCAAGCACATGAGCCATTCAAGCATGCAGCTATTTTTACTAGAGTGTGAAGGATTCTCAGTACAAACTATATTTAACAGGAGGTTAAAGTTCACATTACACAATCAGTGGGGCACAGGATTAAATCATTAAACAGCCTGTTCTAGGCTCTTCCTGCTTTTCTCTACAAGCGGGCTTTCAGTCCTGAGCCTTCTTTCAGTTTAGCCTGCAGATGCCTTGAGGTCTTGGTTTTTTTGCAAGAAAGACTTATTCTTTTTCTTTTTCAAAAATTTTTTAATGTTTACTTACTTTTTGAGAGAAAGAAAGAGAGAGACAGAGCATGAGTGGGGGAGGGGCAGAGAGAGAGGGAGACACAGATCCGAAGCAGGATTCAGGCTCTGAGCTATCAGCACAGAGCCTGACGTGGGGCTCGAACCCACAAGCTGCGAGATCACGACCTGAGCCAAAGCCAGACGCTTGACTAACTGAGCCAGCCAGGCGCCCCGAAAGTCTTTTTCTTTTCAGGCCTCCTGTGTCTCAGATGGAGATTTTCTCATGGCATCAGGACCTCTGATTTAGCAGGAACCTGTGAGGGAATGTTAAGTGAAGCCCTTCCAGTGTTGGAAGATCTAGCCTAGAAATTCTGAAAAACACAAGCCATCCATCTGGAGGCTCAAACTGATGCTCGCCGACAACCATCGCTGGCTTTTCAGAGCAAGGTACTAACAAGGGGCTGGGGTCAAGGGTGTTCGTGTCAGAGCAGGAATGAAGAGGAGGGGTCTAAACCGCCTCATCACTAGGAGAGGCACCCGAGAGCAGGGTCCTGGGCTTGGTGTGCATTGTGACGCGTTGCCCACATGGTCCCTCAGCTGCTGGAGGAGCTGCCTACAAACAGCCTCAGCCAGTGGCCTGGGCAGGAAGGGCCTCCACTCAAGAGTCACCTCGTTCAAGGTGACACCCCCCTTCCTGGGGGAGCCTGCATGCAGTGACTGGTCAGGGTTGCAGGGTTGCCTTATGAAGGGCTGGCCTGAACTCAGGACAACTGGAAAACAGCATCCCTGCCTCAGAGCCCCCTGGGTGGGGGGCAGGGGGTAGGGTGTCGGTTCGTTAGGCCTTCCGTTAAGACTGCCTCCTGCATGGCCTCTGCCTCTGGTACGGGTGCAGGTCTCAAGAGCGCCTCCCAAAACGCTCCCGCCTGCAATCCGGGTCTCAGAGTCTGCTCCCCGGAGAGCCCCACCTGCCTGCAACAAGGACCAGAGAACTTGGTAACACTTCTTAACCTATAAGACATTCCCCGCTCTGCTTTTTTGTTGCCGGTGCCGGCTGCCGGAAAGCTCTTCGGATGCACACGGCAAATGCTCTTGGGCAGACCCAGCAAGTAGCAAGGATATCCCTGGTGAGAGGATTACAGAGGCAGGATGTCACTCCCTATCCTAGACCAATGCAGTGAGGACCTGTATTTTATTTTATTTTTTTAAGGTTTATTTATTTTGAAAAAGAGAGAGCGAGAAAAACAGAGTGCAAGCAGGGGAGCGGCAGCGAGGGAGAGAGAGAATCCCAAGCAGGCTCCGCGCTGTCCCGTCGGCGGGGAGCCTCACTTAGGCTCGACCTCACGGACCATGAGATCATGACCTGAGCCAAAATCAAGAGTCGGACGCTCCACCGCCTGAGCCACCCAGACGCCCGGAGAACCTGTATTTTAACAAGATCCCCAGATGATTCATATGTGTGTTAATGTTTGGTAAGCACGAGATGATTGGATGAGAAACGACTGAGCGGGAACGTTTACCAGTCGCAAGGAAGTATCCTGCCCCCTTGTTTGCTGCATAATAGGAGTCATCTGTTTTTAGCTCTCAAGTTATTTTTTCCTACGAAGAGGACTTTAAAAACCCATTATTTTGCCCCAGTCCGATCGCAGGCAAAAGGGCGGAAGACGGAGGCAGATGGTCAGGCAGCAGATAGCTCCGGTTAGGGAACCTGGCTGCCACATTAAGCAGACCAGGGAAAAGCGTGGACGTAGAGTCCAAACGCAAAGTCAGTGGCAGCAGGTTCTTGGAGCGTAGAGGATGCGATGCGACAGATGAACTTGGAGCTTTCCCAAATGACCCCACGGAAGCTGGTAGAAGACAGCCCCCCGGGGGCAGGCACACACACAGGCGGGCAAAGGGACGCACTCCCACCCATCCTCTTAACCCGGCTGTCTGAGGATTTTCAGCAGTCCTTCACTGACAAGGAACTGACTTCTACTAGAAGGACAAGAGTTTGTGGTAGGGACAATGAGACGTTTCCAAGGCATCCTTCCTAGGAAGGATGCGGTCATTCTCAGCGGGTCCTTCCGTGGCTCACGAACCGCTGCAGTAAGCCGTCTGTCTGGATTTCTTTACAGATAGACCTGTAGGCCGGGTTGTCCTGTAACTGTGTCTTCCAGCAAAAGTCCTAGAGAGCAGCACAGGACAGGTGAGTGGTGCTCATACAGAGTGACGCTGAGCCACAACTGATTCGCGTCTGGCTGTGGCCTGTTCTCTTTCAAGGGCAGCATGGGGAGGGGAGCCGCCATGTGACCAGGACCCCCCAAGGGAAGGGTGAGCGTCAGCAGATATACAGGGGAGACGTGGGAGGGTCCCGGTCCTCGATGAAATGTGTCTCCCACTCAGCGCAGCTACAGACCCAGAGCAGAGCACAATGGCGCAGCTGTGGGCACTTCTGAGAAGTGGCAGCAGGCAGATCGGGGAGGGAGACCAGAAATCCAAGTGCCACTGAACCAGCAGTGAGTTTCCCACTTGTTTGACAGTGTATCCGCAGTCTGGATTGGGGGCAGCCCCGAACTTGGAAGTGCACACGTGTGGATTGAGAGATCTCCCTCTAGTTCTGGCTCAAGGTGAAGTGAACACAGGGGGGCTGTTCTTTATCCTTCCTTTCGCCATTCTCTCACAGCGGGCCCCCAGGCGATCAGAGCAGTGGCAGTGACAGCGTGGACAGGGCCCCTTTCCTCTCTGTTGGGAGGAGTTGTTTCTCCGAAGAATGGGGGCGACCCATTCCTTTTTTTCTCTCTGTTTCCCCACCACTTGGCCCTGAATGTGGACACATGTATGGGAGGTGAACAGCACAGTAGGATAAATAGAGCACTAGCTCTCTGTCCAGAGGACGGCCAAGGGGAGCCAGAGTGCTAGAAAGTGCGAGGGAGGTGGCGAAAAGGGAGGAACTTGGGCAAACGGCCCCACCAAGCTGTTCAGAAACTGCTGGGCTCAACCCTGTGCTGTGCATTGGATCTGCCCTTAAACAGCACACCGAAGACTCTGAGAACCGAATTAAGGGGTAGACCACCACCCAAGTCCCAGATGGACAGCAGCCTCCCAGCCCCCACAGGGGGAACACCCATGGGGAAAGGCTGCGTCCCTCCGAAGATTCTGAAAACAAGACGACGCTGAAACTACAACCGACAGAAGGCTGGCAGACCTTTCAGCCTGAATCCATCTGGGTTGATCGTCTATGAAAACACAAATACCAACCTTTACATAACATGGAAACAAAACCCAGGTCGTGTAACGTATGGTTCAAAACTGCCGGGATACCATCCAATATCACTCTGTGTATTCGTTTTCTATAGCTAGAGACAAGTGGCCACAAACTTAGTGGCTTCAAACAATACCCTCTTTTTTTTTTTTTTTATTTTAAAGTTTTGTTACATCCGAAGTCCAAAATCAGTCTCACTGGGCTAAGGTCCAGGTGTGGGCAGGGCTGGCTCCTTTTGGAGGCTCTGTGGGAGAATTGTTTCCTTGCCTTTTCCAGCTTTGAGCGGCTGCCCACACTCCTTGACTCATGGACCCCTTGCTCTGTCTTCAAAGCAAGCAACTGAACATTCCTCCGACCCTTCTTCCATAGCCATATCCCTTTCTGACCACAGCCAGGAAACATGCTCTGCTTTTAAAGATGCTTGTGATTATAGTTGGCCCGCCAGTAAATCTTTCCATCTCAAGGTCAGCTGATAAGCAATTTTAATAGTGTCTGCGACCTCACTTCCTTCTGCCCTGCAATGTAACATAGTCACAGTTTCCGGGAACGAGAACAAGGACATCTTTGAGGGAGACTTTATTCTGCCTACCACCCTCAGCATACGAAGAGCCATCAAATCTCAGCTCACATGAAAACAGACAATCAACAGACGCCGGCACCAAAAGGATGCAGATGTTGGCATTTTCCGGCAAGGACTTTAAAGCATCTATTATAAAATATTCCAAGAACGAAGGGAGAGCACTCTTGAAATGAATGGAGAGATGGAAAGTCTTAGCAGGGAAAGATAAAGGGTAAAGGATAGCCAGATATAAATTTTAGAATTAAAACACGCAATAAACAAAATTTCAAAGCCTGATGGATATACCAATAGAAATTATTCAGTCTAAACAACAGACGAGAAAAATTGGGGAGGGGGGGGGGGGTGGGGGAAGATGAACAGAATCTCCGGAACCAGTGAGACCATACCAAAATGTCTTAACCTTTGTGTCATTCAGGTCCCAGAGGAGCAGAGAGAATGCAGGGCAGAAAAAAAAATACTGGAAAAAAAAATAATGACTAAAAACTACGCAAATTTTGCAAAAGGCATAACCCTATAGATTCAAGAAGCTCGATGAACTCCAGAGAGGATAAACATTTATATAAAAAAATCCACGCCCAAACACATCCTAATCAAACTGCTAGAAACCAAGAGGAAGCAGCCAGAAATACGACATAGAACAGATCAGTTCAAATGACTGTGCATTTCTTAGCAAAAAGCAGAAATTGACCGATGCAAACAACTGGCAGATTTCTGCTCATCAAAGTAGCAGGAATTTTAACAATTACTACTATCTGGTGTTAGGGTCAAAGAACACGTTAGTGGGAAGAGACATAGGAACATTTATGAGAGGCATTTTCTATCAGAATTGTCAATCTATACACCTTTTAACCCCTCATTCCACTTCTAGAAATTCACCCTAAAACAATACTCGTACATGTGCTCAACGATATTTATTGCGGCATCGTATGTAATGGCCAGTAAACACATTAGTTAATAAGAACGTTTATCAATTATTAACAGAGAATCATATTTAACTAAATTACAGAACACCACACTATGTAATGTATGTAATATACTTTTTAGAGCAATTACATTGGAGGGGCACCTGGGTGACTCAGTCGGTTAAACATCCGACTTGGTAAATGATAAAGACATTTGTCAAATAGAACACCCCCCCCCCCCAGAACACACACGCACATCAGGTTTTATGGAGTCTATTAAGTGCCGAGAAACAGAAGATCTGGAAGGACAAAAGCCAAACTGATACCAGTGGTTGTTTCTGAGGAGTAAGACAGGAAGGATGGAAAACTTACTTGCACTTTTTACTTCATATATCTGTGCATGCGTATGTGTGTGCACGTTAACAAAGAAGAAGTATTATTTTGACATTTTTAAAACGGTAAAAGGCATACCTATGCAAGTTTAGTAACAGTGTCCTCCAGTGTTCTGACCCTAGAAATTTACCAACTAGTCTCTCGCTGTTTTCTGGGGATTTAGCATTTTATTTTATTTATTTTAATTTTTTAAAATGTTTATTTATTTTTGAGAGACGGCGTGAGCGGGGGAGGCACAGAGAGAAAGGGAGACAGAGGATCCGAAGCAGGCTCTGAGCTGTCAGCACAGACCCCGATGCGGGGCTCAGACCCACAAACCGTGAGATCATGACCTGAGCCCAAGTCGGACGCTTAACCGACGGAGCCACCCAGGCGCCCCAGATTTAACATTTTATTCACTTCCTTTAAGGAAACCAAATCCTCCCATTCAGCATCTCCTAGTGTGTAAGTTTCCTACTGCTGCATAATAAATTACTCCAAGGTTTACTAGCTCAAGATGCTCAAAATGTATTATCTCATCTAGGTTTTGAGGCTCGGGAACCCAGAGTGTCTTGGTGGGGTGCCTCTGGTCCGCGTCTCCCATAGGCTGCAGTCAAGACATTGGCCGGGGCTGTTAGTCATCTGAAGGCTTGAGTAGGCCTAGAGGATCACATTCTAGTCTCTCGCCTAACTCCCGGCAAGAGAACTCAATTCCTCACTGGCTGGTGGTCAGAGGCCTCAGCTCCCCTTCACACAGGTCTCTTTGCAAGCTGCTCACAGCATGGGAGCTGACTTTCCTTAGAGCGATTGGTCGAAGAATGAGATAAAGTGGCCGAGATGGAAACCGCAATGACTTCTAGGACTTCTACGAGGCTATAGAAGTGATAGTATATAGGGGATATACTATCACTTCGGCTATAATGCATTGGTCACACAGACTGACCTTAGTACAATGTGGGGGGAGAACACAATACCAGAAGGCAGAGAGCATTGAGAGCTACCTGGAAGACCGGCTGCCAACATTAAATTTTGCCCGACACTCTTTCTCTTCTGCTTGTTCAAGTTCACACGCTTTCTAAGAACTTGTAAAGTTCAACTCTGTCTTTACAGCATCACTGGTGCATTTAGGGGTCCAGGAGCATCCAGTCCAACATCAAAAGAAAACTTTATGGGATGTCTGGGTGGCTCAGTCGGTTAAGCATCCAACTCTTGGTTTCCACTCAGGTCATGATCTCATGGGTACGTGAGTTCAAGCCCCAAGTTGGATTCTGTGCTGATAGCGTGGAGCCTGCTTGGGATTTTCTCTCTCCTTCTCTCTCTTCCCTCTCCCACCTGTATACACTCGCACACACACTCTCTAAAAAAAAAAAAAAAAAAAAAAAAAAAAAAAAAACAAAAAACCAACAACGCTATGGACCAATAGGAAATCCCAGATCACAGAGCCCCCGCATTTTCCTGTAAACAAGGGAATTTTTATTTCCCTGAAATGATGATTAGGAACAGTTGGGGAAACTGCAAATGTACATAATTGATCAAGGAGAAAAACACAGGGAATAAACGGGCATCTCAATGAGAATCCTTTCAACAAGGAGTCATGTGACTTGTTCCCACCCTACAGCCCAACCTTTACTCCTCACAAGTCAGGGCAATCATCTCTCCTCCCAAGTGGAACTTCCCATAAGCCATGGAGGCAAGGAAGCAGAAACGCTTGCCAGCTCATAGATCAACATAAAGACTACCAGAATCTTCTGTCACAGAAAATTTGGGAAGGCAACCAATAAAATCTGGGAGTTAAAAGATATCTCTGTCTCTGCACAAAAACAATATGAAGGACATCAAAGTGTGGCCTTATCTGCGAACTTGGAAGAGAATTTCCTGACGTGTGTATGTTCCTGATTGCAAACGACGTGCGCTGTGGTCTTAGGAGCATAACTGAACGGTACTATTCTTTAAAATTTTTTTTTAACTTTATTCATTTTTGAGAGACAGAGAGAGACAGAGCATGAGCGGCGAAGGGGCAGAGAGAGAGAGGGAGACACAGAATCCGAAGCAGGCTCTAGGCTCTGAGCTGTCAGCACAGAGCCCGGCGCGGGGCTCGAACTCATGAACTGCAAGATTGTGACCTGAGCCAAAGTTGGACGCTTGACCGACTGAGCCACCCAGGTGCCCCCTGAATGGTACTATTCTATACAGTTTAGACTCAGCCAAACATCTAAGTCTTTCATAATATGCTTGCAGATAGGGTGTAGAAATAAAAGAGTTGATTCATCATAGATTGAGCAATCCTTACGCAAAGACTATTGATTAAATCATCGTTGTCAACTTGAAAGAAGTTAACACGCCTCAGGGCTTTGAATTTGGGCTTGCCTCGTTCAACATTTTTATAAACTATTTGGAAAAAGACAAGTAAAATGTGCCGCTTATGTTTTCAAGTATTACAGAGTGAGGCAGGAGAGCCAAGAAGCTGGATTATAAAATCAGAATTCCCAGAGGTCTCCGACGGGCTGAAATGATAGGCCAGAACTCACGACGTGGAAATGGGTGGAAGCGAACAGCATAACATCCTGCCCAGGTGCCAAATGGGAGAGAGCGGGCCTGGAACCAGTTAATGCAGAAAAGCTTTCGGTGAGCTACGGATTTAAGGTAAGTCAGCAGTCCGCCTGCTCTGCCGAAAAGGCAATGCAAAAACCTCAGTCTGCAGTTGTAACAAACAGAGCTCAGATCCACGGAGATCTTGGTCTGATGGATCCCACACTGTGAATCTGTGGATCCCTAGAATGATTGACAGAGTCCTCTAGGAGCAGAATACCTGCGAACTCCCAGATGATACAATTCTCTGCATATAACATTCCCAAGTGACCCATCTAGTAATTCTATCCAAAAAGAAGAAGGAAAAAAAAAAATAGAGATGAGTTTGTTTTATTCTTTATTTGTTCAAACGATATTTATTTAGAAAAAATATATATTTGCCAGGTATGCTGCTAAAAGCCAGTAACATGGAGGTGCTTGGGACATATCCACCTTCTCCCAGTTATTCATTCAAACCCTAATAGAGCGTCAAGAGATCTGGTCGATGTAATTAAGGTTCCAGATCAGTTGGCCTTACGATAGGGTCGGACCCCAATTGCATGAGTACTTGAAACGCAGAGAGTTTTTTCGGGTTGGTGGCATAAGAGTGAGTTGGAGGTTCAAAGCATAAGAAGGATTCTATGCACCATTGCTCACTGGAAGGTGAAGGGGGGCCACATGGTAGGAGTGCAGGTGGCCTCTGGTTGCTGAGAGGGACCCCCAGCTGAGAAGTCAGCAGGGAAACAGAGACCTCAGCCCTACAACCACGAGGCAATGGATTCAGCCACAAGAATCAGCTTAGAGGACGACCCAGAGCCCCAGCGAACCACAGCCCCAGCCAACACCTTAATTTAAGCCCAGTGAGACCCTGAGCACAGGATGCATCCACACCACACCCAGGCTTCTGACCTACAGAAATTGGGTAATAAACTCGCGGTTGTTTTACAATACTTTGTGCCAATTTATTTACAGCAATAGAAAGCTAACACAGGTGATAAAGAAACAACAGCCACACAATGAGGTAAGTGCCCTGATGGAGCAAAGTCGCAGGGTACATGGTTGATGGTCAATTTCAGCATCAATTTCCCCCTTCTCTTCCCTCGGTGAATCTCGGTTTTGTTCACTCCTCATCCATACATACAAACGTGGCCACTAACTGCACCCCAAGCCCCCAATGTGGGGCTGATCAGTCTAAAACAGGGTTTCCCTGGGGGTGCCTGGATGGCACAGTCGGTTAAGCATCCGCCTCTTGATCTCAGCTCAGGTCGTGATCTCACGGTTGGTGAGTTTGAGCCCACATGGCGCTCTACTCTAATGGTGCGGATCCTGCTTGGGATTCTGTCTCTCCTTCCCTGTTCCCCTCCCCTACTTGTACGTGCTCTCTCTCCCTCTCCCTCTCTCTATTAATAAATAAACATAAAAAATTTAAAATGGGGTTTCTCAATTTTGGCATTATTGACGTTTTGGCCTAGATAATTCTTTATTGTGGGGGTTATCCTGTGCATTGTACGGTATTTATCAGCATCTCTGGCCTCTACTTTTTTTTTAATTTTTTTAAGTTTTATTTATTTATGAGAGAGAGAGAGAGACAGCATGAGTGGGGGAGGGGCAGAGAGAGAGGGAGACACAGAATCTGAAACAGGCTCCAGGCTCTGAGCTGTCAGCACAGAGCCCGATGCGTGGCTCGAACTCACGAACTGTGAGATCATGACCTGAGCCGAAGTCAGACGCTTAACCGACTGAGCCACCCAGCTGCCCCTGGCCTCTACTCACCATATGCTAGTGACACACACTCCCCCTGTCCTCCATTCATGGCAATCAAATCTGTCTCCAGATATTGCCAAGTGATAAGGGCGGGGAGGGATGAGGAGCAAAATCACCCCCAGCTGAGAACCATCCATCTAAAAGTGCGCTTACGTGCCTTGCTAATGTTTGGTTCAAGAACAGGTATGTGACCACTTTGGAGAATGAGTGGTAAAGAGAAGGCTTTGGAAGGTTCCAGATGTTGTTATGCGCAGATTTGAGCACTGGGCCTTCTGTGGCCATGTCAAACCCAGCCTGGGGACAGAGCCATCCCGAGGTCTACCCTACCTCTAGATTACTGGTTATGTAAGCCAATTGATTCCTTACTGTTCGAGACGATTCAAGATTGTTCAGGAGAATTCAAGGCACATCTGGGTTTTGCAGCCAACAGTCGCCTAACTGGTGCCAACGTACAAGATGCTGTCAAAGTCCAGGGGAAGATGTACGTCACAAGCCGAGTCAGGAAAGAAAAAGCAAAAGAAAAGAAGGTAGGCCCAGAAGAGTTTATGGAGTGCTTTCACATCGTATTTAAAAAAAAAAAAAAAACAACTCTCTTAAATTTCAAAATGTGTGATACAATATTATTAAGTACAGTCACCAATGCCGTACGTCACATCCCCATGACTTATTTATTTCCTAACTGAAAGTTTGTAGCTTTTGACCCCCTTCATCCATTTTGCCCACCCCCTGCCCCCTCCCACCTCTGGCAACCACCAATCTGTTCTCCGTATACCTATGAGCTTGGTTTTTTTATTCGTTTGTTTTTTTAGGTTCCGTATCTAAGTGAGATCATACGGTATTTGTTTTTCTCTAACTTATTTCCCTTAGCCTAACTCTCTCGAGATCCATCCATGTTGTCACAAATGGCAAGATTTCCATCTTATTTATGGCTGAATAATATCCCGCTGTGTCCACACGACATCTTCTTTATCCATCCATCTGTCGGTGGACACTTAGGTTGTTTCCATAGTTGGCTATTGTGAATAACACTGCGTGTCTTCTTAAGTTTATGTTCTTATTTGTTTCCGATAAATGTCCAGAAGTGGAATTGCTGAATCCTATGGTAGTTCTAGTTTTCATTTTTTGAGGAACCTCCATACTGCGTTCCAGAGCGGCTGCACCAATTTACATTCCCACCAACAGCGCACAAGGGCTCCTTTCCCCCACATCCTTGCCAACGCTTATTATTTCTTGTCTTTTTTGGTGATGCCATTCTGATGGGTGTGAGGTGACACCTCGTTGTGGTTTTGACTTGCATTTCTCTGATGATGAGCGATGTTGAGCATCTCTTCCCGTGTCTGTTGGCCATCTGGATTCTTCCTTGGGGAAGAAAATGTCTATTCGGATCTGCACATTTTTTTGATTAGCTTTTTTTTTTCTTTTGCTACTCAGTTGTATGCATTCTTTATATATTTTGGATATTAACCCCTTCTCAGATATAGCATTTGCTGATTTGTTTTATAGTATTGGTTTTTGCCCATTCTGTAGCTTGCCATTTTTTGTTGATGGTTTCCTTCGCCGTGCAGAAACGTTGTGGTTTGATGTGGTCCTGCTGTTTATTTTTGCTTGTGTTCCTTTTGCTCTTAAAGGTGTCAGTCACATCACACCTTTGATCCTAAGCACCCTGGAAGAAGATACTATTATCTTCACCTTACATCTCAGGAAAGTTAACGGCTTGTCCATTGTTATGAGACAAGGATGGGTCAAGTTCAAACCCCGGGCTTCTGATACCAGATAGGCTCCCCCCACCCCCACTCTTTATTTGAACCATGACTTCTTTTATATCAAAAAATATATATATAACATATAATCTATATATAAATATATATAATATATAATTTTATGCTCAAAAATATTTGATATCCTAGACAAAAGTTCAAAATTTTGAGTGAAGGGTCCGAGGTTTCCCATAAGCCCACCTCTACTGTCACTCCAAAAGATACAGTCTCATCTCTCCAGAAAATCACTCCAGCCGGGACTTTCCTGAGGTTTCCCCCACTTATACTTCCTTGTTGGTTTTTTCCCTGTTTCTTCACCATTATTTTATCAAGGCCCAGTTTATTCCTGAAATTACATAAGGTAGCCCAAGTTTTTGGTGATTTTTCTTCCTCTTAACTCAGAGCATTTACGATGCGCATGTTGCCAGACGCACTTAAGCCTCACCAGATGGGGCCCGAATAGTAGTCATTCTAAAAGAGCTCACCACGTTGGTCCCCACCTGCTTATCCAGGTGTATGCTTATCACCATCCCCCTTCTCTTTCTGGGTCTCCTCACTGAGGTCTTCCTCTGGGGACACTTCACCCCCATTCCTGCAACCCCTCTCACCACGAGAACTCCACTGGCTGCACCAAGCAGTCCGCCCTGAAAACAGAAGGACACCTTTCCTAGTCTGTCCCTCTCGGTCACCTGGAAACCAAAGCAGCTTTGCACGTGCCTGGGCGCTCATACATCCCATACCCCAAAGACAGAGCCCAGCAAAAACCAGCTTCTTCCACCTCCGTCTGCAGCCCTTTTCCTAATGTGGCTTTGCTGTGGAGGCACAGACCCCATGCTGCTCCTCTAGTCTTTGTCTCTATTTCTAGAAATGATATCAGCCACCGGGTTTTGGATGCTTACTTTGGGCCAGACGTTATGCTAAGCACCTGCCAAGCTACCTCATTTAATCCTTACCACCGCCAGATTGGGCAGCTATCCTCATGAGGCACCTTTTACAAGATGGTCTCTTACAGCTAAAAAAGCTTACGGAGCTTGGGTAAGGTCCTACAGCTGATCCAAGAAGTCCTTGCTTAATCTACACGTACGCTGCTCTCAAGGTACTACAGTAACAACTTCCTCCTGTCTCCCGCGGTCAAAATCAAAAGCCCTTTGAAAATGAGCTCATGCAAGGCGGTCCCTCTAGCACCTGGTCTGCAGACACCCTCTGACATGCTGCATGTATTATTACAAGTCATTGTGAACGTGCATTGAGTGCTCATTATGTTCTAAACACTTTGCACTATTAATGCACGAATCCTCAAAATGACCCTGGTTAGGTAAGTACTGTTATTGTTCCTTATTTCACAGATGAAACACACACACACACACACACACACACACACACACACACACAAGCAAAGGCACTGAATGGTTAATTAACATGCCTGAGGTCGCACAGCTAATGAGCGGCAGAGCTATGATGAGGACACAGGCAGTCTGGTGCCGGAGCCCATGCCCTCACCCCCTCTGCTACTGATTACTGCATATCTACCGTGTTCCCGTGTTTTCTCTAATCTTCCCAACGTTCCTGCAAGAGGGCTATGGCCCCAGTTTTATAACCAAGCAACCTGACCATCAGAGAGATGAAATAAACTTGCCTAAGCTCTCGGTTACTAAATGGAAACATCCAGATCCCCACCAGGTCTACCCTGTCTGTCTTTTCCTGCGTGTTTTTTTGTTTTGTTTTTTTTTCTGTAGCCCCAAGCAGGTTCCCTACTCCATCCTCCCAGCATCTCCCCGAGAGCTACAGCTCAGGTCTGTGCTCTGGGCATGGAGAAAAGGAGGAGGGCGATTAAAGAAGGTGGCGGCTGCCAGCTGCTGCTTCAAACAAAATAGATCCACATTTACAAAGGCACCAGGGCTGGTTGCCTAGCAACAACTTTCTACCTCCCCAAGCTGCTCTACCCCATCCTTAACCCACCGCACATCACACACTCCCCTTGGCCCGCAGTGGCCTCTGAGACATCCCCCTTCGAGGCCGCCTTTGTTCATTTTAACCTGATTTGCTGGGCAAATGCTCGCAGCTTGCAACTTGCAGAGAGCCCAGGAAACACGCAATTCATGCCACAGATGGCCCTGGGGCAGGCCGAACAGAGCCCTCCTCCCTGCATGGCCCAGACCTTGGCACTTGCAGGATATCTAATGCTGTGGGAAGGAGAAGGTCTCAATTTCAGGCTCTTTGTCAGATCCCTGAAGGTTTAAAAAAAGAGTTTTGTGTTTCACATATGTCAGGTTCTTTAAATAGTTCTTTGAAATAAAAGTTTGATTGGGATAGAACGAAAGTAGACTGTCTGGATTTCTTTTTTCATCTTATCTCCCATGTTTGAAGTTAGAGCCTCTTAAATTTAAACTTATCTTCAGTTCCACCAATCCAAAAGGCCTTGGGGCTATTTTTGTCCTAGACTCTTAAAGGGAGGTAGGACAAGGCAGAATACATAGTTCTCTGAGCTCTACTTTCCAGCAGAAATGACAAGGGACAGCCGTAGTGTAGCCCCCGGCAAGTCCAGAAGTTTCCGACTTCATGGTGAAGTGATGCTGACCTGAGAGCTGCATTATCACTCTCGGGGGCTCTAAGCACTTTTGTGACCATGGGTCCCTTTATCCACAAAAAGAAAAAAAAAGAAAGAAAAGAAAAAAATATTAACAATTTTGTATTTTACAGGTAGGTTGGTATGAAGACAAATACGATCCAGGCTGGAATCATTAATACATATTCATTACCTTTATTAGGATATGTTTATCTTTTTCCTAATGTCAAAAGAAATTGAAACATTTCCGTGAGCCCGTGAAAATTTATGAGTCCACACCGCTGCACCTGCTGTGCCTAATGGAGAAGACGGCGCTGCCGAGAGAGGACCAGAACACGGCAAGCATTATGGAGACACTGGTACCCAGCCCTGCACTCCGAGCCATGAGATTAGGATGAAAGTAAGATGTGGTGCCTGCACTCAAGAGGCTCGCAGCCTGGCTGGGGAGGAAGAAAAGGCCATGGCTGCAATCACCGAACCACAGATACTCAGCGTGGCCGCCACCGATAAGGTCACCAAGGCCCCTTTCTTATTTAGGGGCCCTTGCATCTCATTCCCGCCGGAAGAAATAACACATTTGAAAAATAGCAGTTTGAGAACAGTCCAGAGAGGTGGGAGGTGGCTGTGGCACGCATGGTGATGGATTGGACATTGGGGTTAAAGAATAGCCAAGGAAGATTTCTGGGTTGGGGGCTTGAGTGGCCATCTTCAGAGACAAGAAATATGGAAGAATGGATTGCAGAAGGAAGTAAGTTCCGTGTTGGGCAGGTGGAGTTCCGTGTTGGGCACTCAATGTGTGTTGGGCAAGTGAGTTCCGTGTTTGGCAGCTCTGATGCCCAGAGCTAGAGACTGGGGTGTTATAGCAGATGCTGGCACTTGACATTCATTTTCTACCTGAAGGCAGCTTATGTTAGCACCGGCAACTCCCTGCCTTGTTCTGGCCTCAGAATAAGGAATAGATAGCCTATCCATAGGATGAGATGGAATTGCAAGAGAGTTAATGCTCTGGAAGCAGCCCTCATCCAGTGATGGGTAGAAAGTTGGGAGGTCTAGGGGCGCCTGGGTGGCTCAGTCAGTTGAACGTCCGACTTCAGCTCAGGTCATGATCTCACAGTCCGTGAGTTCGAGCCCCGCATCGGGCTCTGTGCTGACAGCTCAGAGCCTGGAGCCTCCTTCAGGTTCTGTGTCTCCCTCTCTCTCTGACCCTCCCCCGTTCATGCTCTGTCTCTCTCTGTCTCAAGAATAAATAAACATTAAAAAAAATTAAAAAAAAGAAAGTTGGGAGGTCTATGTCCAACTTTGTCAATTATCCTCTAGTTGGGGTAACTTTGAGGCACAGACTATACAGAATTCCCCAGTGAGACAGAGTTTCTAGAGCCCTGGGGTGAGGTTGGAAACATCCTGGCCAGACTTTGTGAGTAAGAGGTTTCTTTGGGCGAAGGGCTGTATGGTCAGTTCCAGGACCTTGTGCATCTAGAAAGGAAGGATTGACATTCTTAACAATCGTCAACTTCCAGTTTGACTACTTGCTTACGGACCGAGAGCTTGCCGACTCGAAAAAACAGCCCATTCCATTTTCAGGTGGATCTAGTCACTAGGAAGTTCTTTCTTGAAATGAAGTAACACATTATGACTTCTATCTTTTGCTTCTTTTTCTTTTCCTAATTAAAAGCTTTATCTTAGGAAAAGAAAAAGTGTGTGATCCAGTGGTTTTTAGTATAGTCACAGAATTGTGCCACCATTTCCACCACCAATTTTTGAACACATCCATCCCCTCGAAAGGAAACACCATACCCATTAACAATCATCAGTCTCTCCTAATCCTCCTAGCCCTAGGTAACCGCTAATCTATTTTCACTCTATAGATTTGCATTATTCTGGACGCCTCACGTAAATGAGCTCATAAAATGTGTGGTCTTCTTTGAATGGCTTCTTTCACTTAGGATCATGTTTTCAATGTTTGTCCATAGGGTACCATGTTATTGGTACTTCAGTCCTTTTTATTGCCAAATAATATTCCATTGTGGATAAATCATATGTATTTTTTAATCGAGTCATCAATTCATGAACGTTTGTGTTGTTTCCACTTTGGGCTATTGTTATTTTTTTTTTAATGTTTATTTTTGAAAGAGAGACAGAGTGTGAGCGGGGGAGGGGCAGAGAGCAAGGGAGACAGAATCTGAACCGGGCTCCAGGCTCTGAGCCGTCAGCACAGAGCCTGATGCGGGGCTTGAACTCATGACCGCAAGATCATGACCTGACCCGAAGTCGGACACCTAACCGACTGAACCACCCAGGAGCCCCCTACTTTTGGCTATTATTAAATAAGATTGCTATAAACAGTTGTGTACGTGTTTTTGTGTGGATAGATTTTAACGTGTCTTGAGTGTATCTAGGACTGAAATTGCTAGGTGCTGTGGTAATTCCATGTTTGTCTTTTTGAGGAACTGCGGACTGCTTTCCAAGATGATCAGCACCCTTTTACATTCCAGTCAGAGTAGTGTGAGAGGGATCTACTTTCTCCCCATTCTCGCCAACAATTGTTATTTGATGTCCTTTTTATTACAGTAATCACAGTGGGTGTAAAGGTAGTTGTGGTTTTGATTTGTGTTTCCCTAATGACTAATAAGGTTAGAGGCTTTTCATGTACTTATTGCCCATTTGTATATATTCTTTGAAGAATTGTCTATTCTATTAATTGAAATATTTATCTTTATGTTATTGAACTATAAGGCTTCCTTATATATTCTAGACACAGATGGCTTACCAGATAAATGATTTGCAAGTATTTTCTCCTATTCTGTGCATTGTCTTTTTATCTTTCTTGATTGTTCCCTTTGAAGCACTAAAGCTTTAAATTTCAGTGAAAGTCCAATTTATCTATTTGTTCACCTGTTGTTTATTCCTTTGGAGTCATATCCAAGAAATCACTGTCTGACTCAAAACCATGAAGATTTATGTCTATGTTTTCCTCTAAGAGTGTTAATTCTAGTTCTTACTTTAGGTCTATAAACCATTTGAGTTAATGTTTGTATGTGGTGTGAGGTAAGGGTCCAACTTCATTTTTTCGCATGTGGCTATCCAGTTGTCCCAGTACCATTTCTTGAAAAGACTATTGTTTCCCTCATTGAATTGTCTTGGCATCCATGGTAAAAATCAACTGGTCACAAACGTGCAGGTTTATCTCTAGACTTTCAACTCTATTCCATGGATCAATCTGTCTGTCCTTATGTCAGTACCACACTGTGTTGACTACTGTGGGTCTGTAGTAAGTTTTGAAATGTAGAAGTGTGAGTGCTACAACTTTGTTCTTCTTTTTCAAAATCACGTTGGTTCTTCTTGGTACCCTTCTTTTCCGTTTCCATATGAAGTTTAGTTTGTCCATTTCTGCAAAACCAAAACCAAAACCAAAACCAAAACCAAAACCAAATGAAACCAAAGCAACCAAACAAAACAAACTGAAACAAACCAAACCCAAACAAAACAAAACACCCACAAAGGCATCAGGGATCTTGAGTGGGATTATGCTGAATCTGTAGATTAATTTTTGGAGTATTGTTATTTTAATAGTAATAAGTCTTCCAATCCAGAAACCTGGAGTGCCTTTCCATTTATTTATGTCTTATATATCTTTTGTTAAATGTATTCCTAAGTATTTTGTTCTTTTGTTGCTGTTATAAATGAAATTTTCTTAATTTAATTTTTTTGTTTGATCATTACTACTGTATAGAAATATAATTCATGGGGTGCCTGGGTGGCTCAGTCGGTTAAACATCCAACTCTTGATTTCAGCTCAGGTCATGATCTTACAGTTCATGAGATCAAGCCCCGTGTAGGACTCTCTGCACTGAGAGTGTGGAGCCTGCTTGGGATTCTCTCTCTCCTTCTCTCTCTCTGCCCCTCCCCTGCTCACACATGCTCTCTCCCTCTCTCTCTTTCAAAATAAATAAATAAACAAATAAATAAACTTAAAAAAAGAAATATAATTCATTTTTGTATACCAACGTTACAACTGCGACATCACTTACTCGTTCTAATAGTACTTTTGTCAATTCCTTTGGTTTTTTTATGCACAAGATCGTAACTTCTGCAAACAGAGATGGTTTTGCTTCTTCTTTCCAACCTGGATAACTTTTACTTCCCTTTCTTGCCTAATTGTCCGTGCTTGAGCCTCCAGCATTCAACAATGTTGAATAGAGGTGGTGAGAATAGACATTCTTGTCTTGTTCCCAATCTTAAAGGAAAACATTCAGTCTTTTGCCATTAAGTATAATATTAACTGTGGGTTTCATAGATATCTTTATCAGGTTGAGGAAGTTCCCTTCTATTCCTAGTTCTAGTTTGTCGAATGCTTTTGTGACGAAATGTGTTGGATTTTGTCAAGTGCTTTTTCAGCTTCTACTGAGATGAGCACGTAGCTTATGTGCTTTATTAATACAGTTTATGAAATTAATTGATTTTCATGTGTTTTATTCAAGCTTGCATTCCTGGGATGAAATCTCCCTAGTAATGGTGTTGAATCCTTTTGAAGTTGCTGGTTTTGGTTTGCTAATATTTTACTGATGATTTTTGCTCCTCTA